CAATTCTTGTGTAGGTTGGCTTTAGAAATCACAGGTGTCTGGTGGCTTTGACTGACACTTCACACGGATTTCAGTGACCTCTTGCTTTCTTCCTCCCATTCCGTCAAAGACAATGTATTACCTTCCAGGGGAGTGATCCCTAATTAGTTGTCAGGTGATAGTGTGCTGTTCTCATTGTGTTCCCCGCTGCCGCGCTGCAGGCTATGTGGTCAGCAGTCAGTCTTAGAATAAAGTGACAGATCATCTCTCTATACATCAGACCCCTGCAGCTGAAAGAGACCACTTGGTCCTTACAAAGAGATCCTCGCTCTTTTTATTAAGAAGACTTCAATATCAAATCTCATAACAAACAGATCACTGACCCGGCAAAGACAAAGGAACCACTTGAGAACTTGTTTGTGCTCTCTTACAAATAAAAGCAGTAACACATGATGTTAATCACCCAAAAAAAGGTGATTGATGAGTGATTTTTGGTTTGAATTATTTAGCAGTCAGTTGACTCAGTGGAGTCATCTTAATGGAGACATACTTTCTAGCAGACAGCCGGTCAAAGAAGCCCTTTTGGAAGCACACACAATCACACATATTGCAAATGCAAAAAAAAAAAGAAGTGTCTTTTCCAATAAAAGCCATATCTTCTTACTTCTCAGGATATAGCAGGTCATTTCTGATATAAATATGACTTCTTCCTGTCTGTCTGTTAGATCCTCTGCAGGTCTCCTCCAGACAGTTCCAGTATACACCCGGGCAGCAGAGGGACCTTGTTTGAAGGTCATGTCAGCACCAGGGTGTAAACGTTAGAGCTTTTTGTGGTCAGCGTAAATGTACAAGGCCGCCCTGCGGGAGCACTCCTTCCCTCTCTTTAATCGGCATGTAACAGGCCCTTGTAGAGCCAAACTGTCTGCGACACATCAGCACTTAGAAATAGAAACCCCTCAGCCGACCCTGCAAACGGCTGCGGTCGGAGAACGGCAGCTGGATCATTTCAGAGGGACAACACAGACGGGTCTGTTGACCGACGAGAGCCAGGAAAGAGAAAATCTATTCTGAGCCTGAGCTCTGCTTTTTTTATCTTTTAATTTTATCTTTGACATGCAAAATTGTTATTTTCTGTCACCATGAAAAATTAAGGCTTACGCATTGACAAGGCTATGGGGAATGATGATTCTTGTACCTCTTTTGAAGCGAATTATTTAGATTATTTTTGTCATTAGGTCAGTGACAAATTTCATCATTATCTAATCTACCTGACGTGATTCTAGTTGTCAGTTTGCTGCAAAACAAATCCAGCGTTTGCCTTTGACTGTTTAAGTTATGTGATTTTACCTTCATGAGAAGGTTTATGTTTGTTTTGCTGCTGTGATGTGCAGTTAATATCAAATCTGTCCCGCAACAAATTGTTATTGATGCTTCAATATCCCTCTCTATCCGCTGCTATTGCAAACATGAAGTGTATGAAATGAAGCACAAAACGTACACATATCTGTCCGTCTGTCTGTCTGGGAAGCCAATCATTTGCACAAGGCAAGAAAGCAAACTTAACAGTTCTAATGCTCCGACCGAGAAACTTAATTTACCAATTTGCAGGAAGACAAGATGGCAGGAAGCAAGCCAATTTGCCACGTGTGCAGCACGCAGCAAACCACAGGCTTGCTCCCCCGGCCTCATGAGAGGTAATTACCCCTAAAAAAAAATGCCATGCTCTATTAAGATGTAGCCGCATCAAAACCAGGGAGACAGCCTCATTACAAGTAATTATGAGGGAATTAGAAACATCATTTAACTAAACAAGCAAATAATGTCCAGGATATTGAAGAAGCTGCCTGCACTTCTGCCGACCACTGCAAGTCCCATTACAAAAATTGTAGGTCTTTAATAGAATAATGACATGCTTTATCTTCCCCGCGTCTCTCTGAGGGTCCAGGAGCAGAGGGAAGGGTTGAGGGAGAGAGGGGAGGATATGAAAACAACTGTTGCGGAGCTCTCTGTCTCGGTGGTCTCACGCTTGAGTGTGTAGCATTAGGCCTTCAAGATAATCCCCCTATTATCCTCACAAATACAAAATGGAGAGCAGAAAATTGTATGCCACAGCCATTATTGTGTCAAAGGTAATGCTAATGGACTTATCTTTTGAGGAAAAGGTTGAATTTTCTGCGTTTATTCCGTAATAGGCTGATGCATATTGTGCCACGAGTGGCTCTTCAAACAGACAGTTTAAGAAATGGTCTGTAATTTAAAAATGGAGCTTAATGCAGTTTGCCAACGAAGGCCTGATCCACATTTTTGGGCTATTGCTTGGAAAGGTTTTCATTCGAATAACAGACTTGTCTCTGTTAATGTTGTCTGGTCATGAGTTTAAGCAAACTGATTTTGCTGCTGGATATATTTAACCAGGCTGCAAACAATGCTGGGAGAAAAAAAATGTGATCTAACCTCTTTTAATTCAATTTCCATCCTAATTTTGGCTTTTTATTGGATTTCTAAATATATTCTATAATAAGTCCATATGTTGCAGTTACCTCAGCCTGATGGTGTGTGCCTCTGCCGCTGAGGGGAAGGGACTGTGGATGGGGAGGAAGGAGAAGGGGTGGGGGCAAACACAATTTCCCTTCAGCTCCTTCATTTCCAGTTGATATAAAACAGAATCATAAAAAATCACTTCTGCTCCAAGCTCTCCTTTTTAACCATTAACCCATAAATACGGAGGCTGGTTAAAGCCAGCGGATGACAGGGCCTGCCTCAAAAACCTTGTTACACTCCTCTCAAATTCATTTAGGGGGCAAACAGGTCTTGAGAGTTGTCTGGCTTAATGCATTGCGATCGCTTTTAAAACTCTTGTCTTGAGGCGGACCCACGGCTCGCTATCTGCCTGTGGTGTTACACTTCACATCCGTCCTTTTTAATATGAAGCCGTGCGTTTTGTTTTTTAAATCAAACGGCTGCAGGAGCTGGCTCAAAATCCCTTGTCTCAAGCATCAAGAGGGTGAGAATGAATAAAAAAATGAGATCTTGGAGATTGTTTAATAGAGGTGGATAATGTTGCTGCTGCTTTTTCCTAATAAAAGTCATTTAAAAGCTCATTTTGATTCATTATGTCTAATATTAACATGTAAACAAAGTGGTTTCTTCCTTTAAATTCATAATTAACTTGTAGATCTCCAAAAATGATCCTGGGAATCAATTTAGCCATTGCATTATGCCGCTGCTTTTCCCTGGCAGGAGAGTGTAGCTCACAGTTCCCATTATTCCCATCATAAATTATCTGAGCCAGTGAATTGCATTTGCTTTTCACCTTTCCAGGCTGCTTTGATGAATCCTAAGGCAAAACATGTCATCTGGACAAATCTTCATCACCATGCTAATCGCTGTCTCTTTGCAGTTCAAACCACCTCAGATCATTTTCATTGCCGTGCTATTAAAATTTGTAATTCACGTCTGCCATTGCGGTGATACACCTATTCTTCTCTTTTTATGTTTTTGCTCCTTGCAGCTTCTCCACATGTCTCTCCTGCTTCCTGTCTTGCAAATCAAACATCCAGGGGTGACAGTTCATGCAGATTTCCCACAAGTCAGTGGGGTGCAAACATCCATCCACAAAAGCGGCACATTGCCATCACACACAATGACATAATGGCCACTTGGAAACTAATAAACAGCTTCATTCAAGCAAAGCTATTGCTCCTTTTTGTAAGCGCTACTGTCCTCCATCCCTCTCTTTTCTCTTTCCATCCTATCTGTCACAAATTTATCCTGCTGCACCTCACCTCCTCGCTGTAGCTGGAGTTACCCATAAATCACTGCTGTTGTCTAACGCTATCCATTTTCCCAGAAACACGGGCCGGCTGTTGCAAAAATTGGGTCAGGCATAATCTGCGAGGCAGCAGAGCCTGGCTAGTCATAATTCTACCAGGTAATGTAGCCATTAGCACAGAGAGAGAGGGAAAGAGAGAGAGAGCACAGTGGGGTGGACACAGAGGCTTGGATGGGTGGAAGGGCACTCCCTTGTACAAGATGTGACACCTTAGAAAAGCTGGCAAATGACAAAATGTTATTTCCCCCCACCCCCACCCCCACCCCCCACCCAACAACTTTGAGATATGAGAGCTTAAATGTGTCTGGCTGTGACTCCATTTGGGAGATGATGTTCAGGCGTGTTTTATATTTGCATGAGCTGCATTGCCACAAAGTTTTCAAACGTTTTGTCTACCACCCTTTGATAGTGAGACGCTTTTTTTTGCTTGTGTGTGCATAGGTTCTTGAAAACAAGCATCTGAAACATGAGGGCCTACTTTCCAGAATTCATAGCGAGGTTCATCCAGTAAGCCATTACAAAACGGAGAATAGGAGTACAGCTCAATGACAGGCTTGAACTTTTACAGTATGCCTCCTTTCTTAGGTTTCCTCTTACAAGTCCTGCTGCTTAAGAGCCACTGGAGGCAGACTTCAAATGAGAGAAGATCCCGCCCAGAGACATGATTGGCTAATAGTGAGCATCTCCTTTCTAGCTTCAAATGTACTTTATCCTCCTGATAAACCAGCTATTAACCCATCTTATGCTCTGTAATGTTTAGTATAAAACTAACAAAGCGCATCTTAAAAAACACAAGCATGTTTAAGGAAATACTCACTTTTTATTTAATTTTAAGGTTTGGAATTGAAGCAGTAATGAAGCTTTATTGTGAGCCTTTCAGATTGCATAAATACATTTGTCTTGCTCATGAGCTGGAATTAGAGTCCACCTTTTAACAGAACTCATGGCAGTTTTGTTAAGTTCCCGGCTCAGGGATTAAAATATTCAGAAAGACTTTATACTTCTCCTAAACAATAAATATATTTCTAAAGAATTTTACACAAAAAGTATGAGCCCCTTACAAAAAACATTATAGTCAAAATATGTAAATGTGATTTGTAGCTTTAGCTGTTAAGTTTATGCAAAAAATGTAATAATAATAATAATAATAATAATAATAATAATAATAAATGAATCCAAACTGTTCCAGTTGTCACTGAAATACAAAAATTTATTGACTGAAACTGAGTCTAGATTACAATAGAAACATTTATAGTTTTCCCCATAAGGAAGTCTTTATTTATTTTATTTTATTTTTATCCTTTGGTCAAATAAAATGAAAGATATGACATGTTGAACCAGCCGAGGGTAGAAAGTATAAAAGCATCTTTTTTAAAATCCACTTTCAGTTGGGATGTCAAATTAGAAGTATTTTCTAATCAAATGAGAAGGAAAAAATAAAAAGGTACAAATATGTCATTATTAATTATACACATGGTGTATTTTATACATATAGGGAAGCTTGGTTGCTTTCTCTTGAAATTTACAGATGCTGCATTAGACTTTTAACAAATAAAGTGATACAATATATGTGGTTATGTAGACACTTAAAATGTTTTAACGTGTTGTTTTGTTTAGTTTTTTACTTCATTTACAGAAAAGTTCATCAGTACTCGAGTTTGTTGTACAGGTTGTATAAAGGTAACGCTGGCAGGTTGCTCCCGGGGTAATAGAGAGGCGTCGGGAAGGCAATGGAACGGGGAACAGGGACACGCAGCAAGTTATTATCTCTGAAAACCAGCGGCATCCCCACTAGAGTCTGTGCGGAGGCGTGAGCCATGTTGGCCGCCTCCAGCTCAGCAGAGAGCTGCCTTTTCCATTTGTTCCTCCTGTTCTGAAACCACGTCTTCACCTGAGTCTCCGTCAGCTGCAGGCTGGAGGCTAAGCAGGCCCGCTCCGAGCTGCTCAGGTAGCGCTTCATGTCGAAGGTGGACTCCAGCTGGTACACCTGACTCCGGGAGAAAACCGTGCGCGTCTTCTTTTTGGCCGAGTTGCCCTGCTTGTCCGCAACGTCTGTCTGTCTCTCCTCGGACAGAGGTGACATTTGATGGCATGGTCGTTCCTGCTCCTTCTTATAATCCTGCAGCAGAGGCTGTGACAGGTGCGGCCGTCGCAAGAGCGCGTCATTCCCAGACAGGAGACTTTTGGCGGAACCTGAACGCAGCAGGAGGACATAATAAGGTTATTTCACATAGTATAATTATGCTTTTGAGCAAGCAACTGGGAAAATTTATATTCTAGACATAATATGGTGTTATGTTAGACTTTGACAACCGGTGACTTTAAATACACAATTAGTGTATAGCTGCAATTAATTAAATCCCGCTCTGTTTAACGTAGGTTGGGTGTAGGGCCAGTGGAGCCATCTTGGAAACATGTTTCATTAATTTGTAGGCTCAATTAAATTTGAAATGAGAAGGAAGACATGGGACTATAGGAGATATGCAGCCTACTGCGAGTCTGCATGAGGGGCTCCATGTGGATGTCACAGCCAAAAACATAAAATATGCTAAATAATATGAAGTGTAACAAAAAGAAATCAAACGGAAATACACAAAAACAAAATGGAAATAAAATATTTGACAAAATGAGAGTAATGAACGCATTCCTCACCCAGACAGAAGTTGTGCGCCTGGTGCTGTGCGCACGGCTCGCCGTGACCCGTGTCGGAGCAGAAGCAGTCCGCTGAGTCCTCCCCACCGCTGCACTCCTCCTCGGAGGACACCGACAGCGAGCGCCTCCGCGGCGGCGACGGCCCCTTGGAGAGCTCCTTGGTCCCAGAGCGCGGCTCATCGGACGGCGTGCCTAAAATAGACTGGATGGTAAAGCTAGAAATTGGCCCCGACGAGCACTTGCTCCCGCTGTCGTCTGCGTTACTCATTCTCGCTTCATAACAGTATTGAAGTATTGACTGAATCGGTCTGCCCCGGTGGATTCCGTGATTGCTTTCTACACGACTGGTGCGTAAAAATTACGAAGGCGTCTTTTCTCTGCGTTTTCTTTTTATGCTCCCCTTTTCACCCCCAGCCTGTTTAATTGTAGAGTTTATCATTAAAAGGAGTTGGAGGTGTATTTTCTAGAGCTCGGGGAACATGAGTGTATTCCCGGTCCTCCTCCTCACGTCCTCCTCATCACGCTCTGGATCGGAGACAACAAGGTTGCGTTGCTTCATTTGCATGTAGGTAAGCTCCTCCTGGGCCAATCGCCGCTTCAAATTCAAGCCCGGAAATTTCAAACTCCTGTCAGGCTGTTGGAGACGGGAATGTGGAGAGGGAGAGAGCCGAAGAAGAGCAGAGCTGAACTTACAATAGTAGGGGAGGTGATCTAAACGTGTGCTGCAAAATGTATGCGTGAATCCTCGTGTTTTATACGGAATCCGTGCGCGAAAATAAATGTTTAGAAAAGAAGTTGTGAAAAATATTGTCTTCTTTCTAAATTCCTCTCGGGTTCTTCATTCCTTATAAGACATTTGCTGCGACATGATTTGCATTTCAAATTAACAGACGTGATATTAACACGCGCAAATCCTCAGAACTGAGACAAAAACCTTCCTCATTATTCCTGAAAATAATAAACTCATTCCTCGTTCATTATCTACTATTAAGAATTAATTTGATCATTACTGAGCTAATCTTCCTCGCGATGACCGCGTGTGAGGCGGAGGCCGACTAATTGATTGACTAATTGATTAGAGGTGGTGGCACGAGTGCATGCGTGTGTGCGCGCGCATGCGAGCGCTCCATAACTTGGAAGGGTTATGAGCTTCACCACCGCCGCATTTTTCCTTTCATCTGTGATATGATCAAGCTGCATGTGGTGTGTGTGTGTGTGTGTGTGTGTGTGTGTGTGTGTGTGTGTGTGTGTGTGTGTGTGTGTGTGTGTGTGTGTGTGTGTGTGTGTGTGTGTGTGTGCGTGCGTTGGGGGGGGGGGGGCTCGGGAGGCTTTGGGAGGATGCAGGATTTATGGTTGGTGGTTGCACATAAGGCGTGAAATTTGCGATGACAGTTGAATGGGTTTACTTTATGCTGCTGTTTCCATACAAAGAGCGCTTTCCACCACTTTATACGACTTAAACAAAGTGAGATGAGTTCATCACGTGGTGCACGCAACATGTTGCACAAGCTGCTTTTATGTCTGGCTATGGCCAAGTGTTATTACTTTGGAAATAACCTCCTCCTCCCTTTTTCTCTCGTGCGTCTTCGGGCCTGGTGAGGCCCAAACCAGCTAAGGAGCGGGCCTATAAACCCGTGCTCTATCGTGATAATGGCTGTTGCACGCGGCCGCCCTATCGTAATAACTGGAACAAGATTTTTAGCAAGAGAGAAAGGTCTGAGAAAGACAGATGAAGTTATGGGGCGCTTTTATCTGGGAATCAAGCTTCGATAAATATTAAACAAAGACCCTTTTACGCACGTGTATTATGATCTATGGCGTGTCCAAGTCTAGAATAAGGAAATTACCAGAGAAAATGATATCAATAAATTTTCTAAGCATAAACGTTGATTACGTTTCGATTTTCATTCAAGAAAGCGGGGCCCTGCTGCTCTTTAATTTTTTCTTCTTTGGGAGGTGTTTGCGTGCGTCTGTGCGCACTTTTGTACGTGTGTGCGTGTGAGACAGACAGAGAGAGAAAGAGAGAGAGAGAGAGAGAGAGAGAGAGAGAGAGAGAGAGAGAGAGAGAGAGAGAGAGAGAGAGAGAGAGAGAGAGAGAGAGAGAGAGAGAGAGAGAGAGAGAGAGAGAGAGAGAGAGAGAGAGAGAGAGAGAGAGAGAGAGAGAGAGAGAGAGAGATGTAAACGCAGGCAGAGCACCCGAGCCCTGGAGGTGTACAATTTATGTAATCTGAGTGTGGAAATGAACTGGGTAATTTATTGGAAAACACAAAGTCAGGAAGATTGGATCAGTACAGCCTATCCAAGGGCTCCTATCCATCAAGTTCCAATTAACAACCTAACCATTGAGTTTTAATGGCTTTCCAATCTACTGCCCTGATAGACTTATCAATTCTCAGGGGAGAAATTAAGAAAATCGACCGCCCCTCGGCGTTCCAGCGTCATTCTTCACAGCAACTATATGTCAAATTAAAAACACAATTAAAATTTAAACTGTTCCAATCAGACGGTGCTCCGCAACCTATGTTCACTTAATAGAACTTTGATGAAAATCTGATGCTCGCATTCAGTCAGGAAAGCAAATGGCACGTTGCATAAAAATAAGAATTCCTCTTCAAGAGTTGTCAAAGTAACTTGTTCAAGCGTGAACCCGGACGTGCGAGACGCTGGCATTTCCCTTCTGTTGTCACCCTGATCTGGAGAGTTTGTTTAATTTTGCTTAAGTTATTTTTTGCCACGTGCAAACTTTTAATTGTTTTTATTGAACTTCCACATCTTCACACATGAGGTGGCAGCTGCAGAGTAGAGGTTGGGTTTATAAAAGGCCGCTTGTGGGTTTCCAAACTGGCACTAGAGCCTGTGATAGAGGCTGAAAATGATTCAGCTCTCCATTTAATGCGCGTTCCCGGTCACGTCCGTTTGTCCCCGTTCGCGCAAATGCGCTTTATTTGATTTTGGACCCGCTCCCTCCGCTGCTTTTTACATAAAGATGTCGCACAAATGGAAATTATCGAGTGGTAATTTTTTTCAATTTATGCGCGCAAATCAAGGTCACGAGCCCAGCCAAGCCGGAGCTGCGTGTGAATGTTGCTCTTACTAGACGCAGCGCGCTGCAGACGTTCACGGATCGATATGTGCCAGAGGAATAATGCCATACTAATCTATTAATTTGCGGTAATGGGTCCCTGTTGAGTGTTAGTGGTAGGTGCACGTCAATACTCACGTGATCTGATGATATTTTGAATGAACCCTTTGTCTCTTGATGAGGTCATCATGCAGAGTTTATGCTGACTGATTAGTTTGACTGCAGATGAAGACGGAAAAAATGACTTAATGGTTGTTTGAACGAAATGGCGCGCGTGCCTCAGAGTTTGGATTTACTCATCGGTTTAGTTCGACTATCAGTTTAAATCTCTCACACGTGTTTCAGCGGAAATACAGCGCAGAACAGTTTGTTTTAAAGTCACGCACGTGCGTCAAACAGCAGAAACCCTGTTAAGACTTTATTTCCTCTTCAATCAAACTGTTGGCTGTATAACGGTGATTCTGGTTAGATTTAATTCTTAAAAATTATTGAAATCCACCAGAATAATTATGCCAATGAATAAATAATAAATGACACAAATTAAATCACTTTTAATTCTAAAGCGTATTATTCACAAGGGCTGACACCTTCTGCCCTAATCCTCTATTTGCGTAAATTAGAGGCACATGCAAATCTGTGAAACAGATGATGGGAAAATGTACAAAAGGCTACATGCAACTATGTAATATGATATTTGAGAGCACAGGCTGGGACTTAATGTCTAATCCTGCCGAAAAATGATCTGTCAAAACATCGTTTTATTGAATGTGTTTTTAAGTCTTCTTCTTTATTCTTGTGGAAGAAAAGGTATTATTGAACCAATCTGAGACTATCCTCACACATTGCTTCATCAGATGTCTTGATCAAGAAACATGATTACTTAATTTAGACGCAAACGTGTGTGTGGACGCATAAACATCACCTTACCCAGTGAGGGAAAAAAAGTTCAGCTGTACCTGATGGAAGTTGTGTGAAACAAAGCACCCTATAAGTCACCCTATGTATATATATATATATATATATATATATATATATATATATATATATATATATATATATATATATATATATATATATATATACAGAGACAGAGAGAGAGGGAGGGAGAGAGAGAGAGAGAGAGAGAGAGAGAGAGAGAGAGAGAGAGAGAGAGAGAGAGAGAGAGAGAGAGAGAGAGAGAGAGAGAGAAAGAGAGAATAAGTCTGTTGGATTACTGAATGACTTTTACTCTGTGTGTGTGTGTGTGTGTGTGTGTGTGTGTGTGTGTGTGTGTGTGTGTGTGTGTGTGTGTGTGTGTGTGTGTGTGTGCGTGTGTGTGTGTGTGTGTGTGTGTGTGTGTGTGTGTGTGTGTGTGTGTGTGTGTGTGTGTGTGTGTTTGGGGGGGTGTTAGGGAGAGTTTGCGTTGCATCCTGGCAGACACATGAGCAAAACATTAAAAGACAGCAGCTCGGAACAATTTCCTCATTTGAATACATTACCTCTAATTTTGGAAAGATGGTGCCAATTACGCACGTAATTGACCGAGACACTCTTTATGTAAAACAAGGTTTTAGAGTGCGCAACAATAAGATGATTGTAGAAAACCCACCTGCTGTTGCTGCAGGTGCGTGCGTCTGCGCAGGCACGAGGTGTTAAACGAGGTTGTTGTTTTCTTTTTTTCATTTGAAATATGTTATATTTACGTTTACATTCTTTAGTTTGTATTTTTGTTTTGAGACCAAATAATCACAAATGCCCATACGGAATATTTTGGATTTATTTCACAACAAGATTCAGCAATACAATATCAAAACGTTGTTTTACTGTACAAATGAGAAGATATTCTCATTAAATATATACATTTACATCTTTTTACACCAGTGTAGTTGTTTTTTCTCTCTTCCTGTTCAGAAACACAACAGCTTAAGGGGATTTGTGCTTGAAAACGTGAGAAGCGAGTGTTAAAAATAAATTTAACATAAAGGTACGCCATGTGTATTTTACAGCTAGTGTCTTGATTGTCCCCGGTCAAGCGTTTGGGAAAAATAGAAAAAAGGGGAAAATTAACATTAACATGATGGCAAAACACGTTTCCTGTTGAGAGTTTTCAGTCATTCACAGCACACAGTTGGTGTATTGCACATCATCGTGTCACCAGTTCGGGAAATGGAAATTAAATCAAACGAGTTAAAGAAAGAAAGAAAGAAAGAAAGAAAGAAAGAAAGAAAGAAAGAAAGAAAGAAAGAAAGAAAGAAAGAAAGAAAGAAAGAAAGATGAGTTTTTAGCTTTATGCAGTTTTCTGTAAACAAAATGTAAAAAATATTAGAATAAAATAAAAAACTCACTAACAACGGTAAACTCCTGAGATGATTTTAGCATAATAATAATAATAATAATAATAATAATAATAATAATAATAATAATAATAATAATAATAATAATAAATGTGTAAATGGCATTGTTATAAAAATGACACATTTTATCTAACAAATTAGAAGTGACATACCCCTCTTGTTTTGTTTTCTGTTTTTAGTTTATTCTTGAAGTGTCTTTAGGCGCACCGTTTAAAAAAATAGTGTTTTTTTTTTATTGTGATAATTTGAGAAACCAACCTGTGTCACAAACAAACTGCTACTTTCAAACCGGTCTGAGCAGCGGCACAGAGGTGACGATGGGATGGGAGTAGTAGACGCCGGGATGCGGGAAGGTGAGCAGCGGCTGGCTCACGGGCACGCTGGCAGTTGCGCCCCCGCCCTCAGTGGCAGAGTTCTCGTGGTAGATGATGGGCACCCGGACTATCCTCTGCGCTGCAGCGTGGCTCAGGTTGGCGGCCTCCAGCTCGGCGGCCAGCTGTCGCTTCCACTTGTTCCTCCTGTTCTGAAACCAGATCTTCACCTGCGTTTCCGTCAGGTGGAGGGACGCGGCAAGGCCGGCCCGCTCCGAGCTGCTCAGGTAGCGCTTCATGTCGAAGGTGGACTCCAGCTGGAACACCTGGCTCCTGGAGAAAACCGTGCGCGTCTTCTTCTTGCGACACGGCTTCTTGTCCTCCTCCCTCTTCTTCCACTCGTCCAGCTCATCTTTTTTGGCGTCTTCCGCGTCGCTCTCCTCCAGGATGATCTCGTCGCTGCTTTTGTTGTTGTTGTGCTCGTCGTCCTCCTCGTCATCTTTGGCATCCGGCTCGGATTTGAGCACCAGGTCCGGGGAGTCTCTGTCCGTGCCGGATGTCGGAGAGGACTCTCTGGGTGCTGGTTTCTCGATGACTGGAATGGGGACACACGGAGGAAGACTTGGTCACACACGAGTCATGTGTTTGAGTATTTATACGACTTTACGAAACTTAAAACGAAATAGTGCCATTAAGAAAAACGCTCTGCGTCATAACCCATTAATTACAGTCAATTTTCACTTTATTTATTCCAGTAACTATTTCAGTAGATGGAATTCTTTTAATTCAACAAATCAGACCCATCCTCACTGGTAAAGTGACACTTTTCCTCCTTGAATTGAAGTTTTACTATAATCTCCAGTCCTTTCATGATACCACATAAATCAGAGAGGCTGTCAGTGACCGAGCCTCGGGGGTAAGATGCGCACCATAAGCGCCAACAGACAAATCAAAGGCACGCTGCGCACCGTCACCCTCATCTAATCATGTCTACATCATTTTATGCACAGCGTGTTAGTTTATTGATCCATTACCCCATGTCCTGGCATAACAAAGCAGGCCTTCGTGGAGGAAAAGGTGAATCATCCCAGGTGCGAGACACTATTTATTATTTGCACGACAACGAGGTAAATAAAATCCCTGATTAGTAAATTAGCTGGTTTAATTAAGTGAGGTTAGTTTCTATGTTTTTATTTTTTAATTCATGTTGCATCAGCGCGGCTTACCTTCACTCCTGTGCACATGAGCCGCTGAGCTGAAGGTGTAGGGGTACCACCACGCCGAGGTGCGCTCCAGATAGTGAGCCGGAAGGGTGAACCTCTGTGCGGGAACGTCAAAACGCGGAAAGTTGAAATCCCCGACCTGGGAAAGGGAAAACCCTCCCTCCAAGGCCGCCTTGGTCGCAGTCAGTGTGGGCTTGGGTTTGGATGGTTTGCTATCACAGTTTAGCAGGTTCTTAATGAAGAAAGGAGAATCCTTGGCCGGAGCGCACGTCTCTTGCGTGGTCTCTGGCATTGCTGTGGTCTGAACGTCCTCAAAAAGCAAGACACTAAAAACAAATAGAAATAAAAAACCTAAAGAGATGTGGATATCCCAGCTGAGGGGAGTTCCTGATTTTAAACTGGATTTCACACCCAGAGAATGCGTCAAAAGCACGCGTCCTCTTGAGCTTAGAAAAACAGGAAAACCAAGCGTTGAGGGGTTACAATAGAGACGCGCGCGAGCATGTCACATCCCGGAGTCTTCCGTCAAAAAACTGTGTCCACCGTGTCAGTCTGTCTGGGGTCTGATGCTAATGATGAAATAAAAATGTCATCCAAGTTAAATGCGGAAAGTATAGGCGATTGGGCATGTACAATGGCAAATGGGATTAAGGGAGAGACGGTGAGGGGAGGGAGGAAAAAGAGAGAGTCCGTCCTCCCCTCCCTGTGTGCTCTGGCTGCAGGCTGCGTGCGCTCCCCTGTTATTGGTCTCATCCAGCGCAATTAGCAGCAAACGAACTCGAGCCTGTTACCGCCGAAAAGGAAGGCTTGGACCGACTGGACAAGTGACCCAGCACACGAATAAGAAAACACAGCAATTACAGCGCATATGCGCAAATGTGCGTTCCTCTTTACTAGATTCAAAATGTGTTTACTCCACTTTATTCTTGATTGCTTAAGCTGTTCCTGCATGTTTATTTTTGTAGTTAACATTTTTTAAATGTAGCAAATAAAGAAAATATGATTCCAAGACATCCAAAACGTCAAATTAAAATATTATTATAGCCTATAGTAAATCCCAAGTGTGTAAAAAGACTGAAAGTCACATAAAAGCTCGAAACAAACCTTATAATACATAATATACAATTAAATAATCAAGAATCAATGTATTCATTTAGTGTAGAAATGTAAAATATTTTCAGCGTCGTGAAAATTAAATTCCACTATATTTTCAGCACTTGAAATGTTAAATGCCTCCTCCAATTTATTATATTTTATTCCATCCCCATCCACGGCATGACAAAGGTCTGTGATCAAGCTGCAGCTCCTGGATGTGTCACCAATGGGCGATTAGATTCATATTTCTAATTCATTGATTTCCAGCGAGGGCCACTTCCACAATGTCTGCGGATCGCACGCTCAATTTTTCTTTTCTTTTTTTTTTTTTTTTTTTTTTGTCCTCAATCGATTTTGTTAATTCATCCCTCAGATTGCACTCTTTGTAAATGTGCTATGTATATTCACTCATTGATATTAATTGACTTGTTTAAGAAGCAGCGTCATTGGCTGAGAGCTTAAGGACCGGGAACAACGGAGAGACAGCGCCCTCTGTGGGCCACTAGAGGTTATGGTGAGGTTGAGCCTGACTTTATCATCACAGTTTAGTGAAAACCCACCTTCACTCTGATGATCCCTCTAAGAACTCTAAAAAAATAAATCACTTTGTAAACTGGATTGGGTTTATCCAGCAGAAGTTGAATTAATTAAAAATGAAAACAACATATTTTTCACACCCTTTCAAATCAGCAAACAAATTTAAATATCAGAAAAAGATAATAGGTAAAACTAATTGCAGTTTTCTTATGAGGATCCTATTCTATCTCGGGGAAAATCTATGGTCTTTTGTGGAAAAAATCAACAACTTTAGCTAAAAGAGCTATCAAGTGTAAGGTGTAGCAGAACCGTTTTAATTTGGCCACATTTAGGGTTGTCAAAGGTCAGACGTTCTCCTTCAATAATTTCAGGCAGATGGATGGCAGATTTCAAAGTTCCAGCAATTACAGCAAAGCAGGTTGAAGCAGCCCCATACCACCACACTGCCACCACCATGTTAAGATGTGGCTGACAGTGGGCCCTTTTATATTTAATTTTTAATTTTTCTACACAAATTTTAAATAAGGCTGCACAGGTAGTAGGAAGAAGGTGCTGGGTTCACAACTCAGCCTGGGGTCTTTCTGCAAGGAGTTTGGATGTTCTCCTTGCGCAAGTGTGGGTTCTCTCCAGATACTCCGGCTTCCTCCCAAAGTCCAAAAACATGACTGACAGGGTAATTGTTCTCTCTAAATTATCCTTAGGCGTGAGTCTATGTGTGAATGGTTGTTTGTCCTGCGTGTCTCTGTGTTGCAATCTATACCCCGCCAGTTTGCCTATTGTCTGCTGGAGATAGGCATCAGCCCCCCGCGACCCATGGACAAGTGGGTTCAGAAAATGGATGGATGAATCATTTTGAATAATCGTGATTATTTTTTTCATGTCCAAAATTGCTGCTATTGGCATGATGGCATTTTCTGTTATGCAGCTGTTTTACATGCCTTCTAAAATGTTCCACTTTGTCTCGTCAGAATATTTTTCCAAAACTCATGAAGATCAGATTTTTTTCTTCAGGTAAACGTAAAATAGCTTATTGTGTTTTCATTTCCAAACTTTCCTGTTTTTGTCCCATATCTCTGCTGTTTTTTGATCATGACCTTTGACCTTATTCACAACCAAGCCAGGCCTGTTGTGATTTAGATGTTTTTGTTTTGTTATTGGGGTAGATTTATTTAGAACAGAGCATGCCGTGATGTTCTATGGAAGTGTCGGTTACGTGTACAATATGAGATATGCTTATTTCAACTGAAATCCAGAAGCGTCTTTGAAAAAAAAGTGTAGCTCTTACTATGCATTGATTACAAACATGTAGTAGACATTACCCATAGGCCATTCGAGGTCCCTCAGTGTCAGTGGCAGCGCCAGGGGGGGTGCTAGGGGGCGCTATAGCTATCCCTGGATTAGTCATTGCACCCTCAAGTAAATATTAGATTTTTTTTTACAATTTAATTTTAATTTAACGTGTGGATGTGATAATATTTAACATACAAAACAAAAATAATCAGTAAATTATCGTATAGATAGTAAAAACTTAAACCAAAACAGAAAATTGATGTTAACCTTTGACCTCATTTTCCACCTGCGAACGAGTGAAAGGTAGTGGTAAAATGGATCAGTTTTTGTTGCCCAAATTTCCACAGGTTCATTCAGAAACGAATGAATCTTTGGAAGTGATCTCAGACCCACAAAAACCTACGGATCTGGATGAAGAGAGTCAACCCTCAACCGCCGCAGCAGTCGAGGGTTTTGCCACTGAAAATGCTAACAATAACATTAGCTAACCTTGCAACACTATAGATGGATTTCTGTGTGGTTGTATGCGTTTATGATTTCATGGAAAAGTCAGCGATTGTTCATATGTTTATGATGTATATCAATGATTGTTTCAGGTGATGTTGAGGTTTTGTGCACGCATGTGTATCTGCTAGTGTTGAAGGTGTTTTAGAGAACAATAGGTACGCATGACCACTTCCTTCATAGCACCCTCAATAATAAGACTAGCTCCTTCATAGCACCTGCAGAAAAACATTTCTGGAGCCGCCACTGCTCAGTGTTCCATAAGTCTATTTCTGTTGCTCCTTGAGTAGGTTAAAATGGCCTTTATATTATTTATTTCAAAGCACCCAGATATTGATTATTTCACAAGGAAAAATGACAAATGGCAGGAGGGAATGACACGGTCAGCAGGTTCTATTAGAGAAATGATAGTGTTGCTCGTGGTTTGTTAAAGGGTCCAGTTTAGATACTTTATAGGTTTACATCCATCACCTTCTAATGACCTATTTGATGAAAAGCACGCGCTCTGGTGACAACAGCCCTGTGCAGCCAACTTTGCTTTGTAATTGCTCCCATATTAAATATAGATTTTTGTTTTGATATCTTGTGAGAATTCCTTTCTGTGGGTCAGAAGTAAAAGACAACAGCAAAAACTCAGAAGGAAAGAAACTGGAAAGAGAATTGAGTAAAATGGGTAACTAAGAGATGTGGAATCTAGAACTGTGAATTTGAGAAATGTTGGAGGGAAAATTTTAACCTTTTATTTGTGTTAAAAATGTTCAAATGTGCAGCTAAAAGTAAAGCTGCAACCTATATTTATGTCGATGGCTGCAACACACCAAAATAACATATATACCTTTACCTTATGAAGTTAAAGCTTGTTTGTGTGTGTGTGTGTGTGTGTGTGTGTGTGTGTGTGCGTGCGTGCGTGCGTGCGTGCGTGCGTGTGTGTGTGTGTGTGTGTGCGTGCGTGCGTGCGTGCGTGCGTGCGCGTGCGTGCGTGCGTGCGTGCGTGCGTGCGTGCGTGTGTGTGTGTGTGTGTGTGTGTGTGTGTGTGTGTGTGTGTGTGTTTATACTTGTCAGGACACGTTTTAACTTTTCACCTCTAACATGGAGACATTTTGAAATTGTGTGGACATTTGCCAGGTCCTCACAAGAAAAAAACCCTAATAATTGGTTTAAGAGGTATGGTGTGAATTAACCTTTTGTTTAGGTTAGGGTTAGGAATAGATCACCATTGTGTGTGTGAATGGGTGAATGACTGATTGTGTTGTAAAGCACCTTGGGGAGGTTCTAGAACTGGTTATGGCGTTATGGAGTCATTACCATTTATTTATTTAGACTAGACTAGACTAGACTAGACTAGACTAGACTAGACTAGAATAGAATAGAATAGAATGGAATAGAATAAACCTTTGTTATCATTTGAATGAGAAATGTAAGTGTTATACACTATAGAGTAAAATGAGTATGAAGATGAAACAAAATTATTGATTGATTCATTGTTTTAGTTAGTTTTGTTTTAAGAAGCTTCAGACAGGTTTTTGTTTTTCATTTGTTTATTTGTTTATTTATTTATTACATTTTGTTAATCGTTTAGTTTGTTTTTATGTTTTCTTCATGCTGCACATCTTGGCCATGGTTATTTGTTTATAATTATTTAAAGGGGAACTAGCACCTCCTAGTGTCCATTCCTAGAACAGAAACAAAAATCTGTCTCCTCACTGTGCATTCGTCTTTTTAACACCTTAATCTAACTGCTGAAATGTCTCCCCAGCCTTCATCAGTGTCTACAGGAGTGATTTATCACGAAATTAAACAACCAGCTGTGTTCATGATCTAAAACATGCAGGAAACGTGCTGGAAGAAGACTGCAGTGCCAGGTATGTTCAGTTTGCTACATCCACCAGTCTGAAGTTGCAAATGGAACATTCTGGCTACAGGGGCGATAGAGGTGGATGGCCTTTCATTAACCCTGTAAAGGGTCATTTTAGCACATACTGGCTCAAGAAAATGATTTTAAAAATATGAAAAAGTTGCATAGTATCCCTTTAAATGTGGTGGGTTAGATGAATGATAATCAGTTATAAAGGAAGCTTTCAGGTGCTTCAAACTGGTAAAAAAAATTGCTATAAATAAATTTTTATTTTTATGAAATTATATTATATACTATCTTATGATTAATGTGTGTATTTTATATAGAAGGTACATTTAACTTTTATGTATGTTATGGTTGCAAAGTAGGCTTGATTGTCAAAATAACAAAAACTTAACCTGTGAAACCTTTTTTATTTTTATGTTTTTCCATTTATTTGAATAGAAGAAAGGCAAAAATAAATACTGAAATATACACCTGCTT